AAAAAAAAAAAAATAAATAAATAAATAAATAAATAAATAAATAAATAAATAAACATTGCTAATTGCTATAAGTAGAGAAGGATCCAGACTCTAGAGTATGGTATGCTTACTGGAATAATAATGCAGGTAACTGTGAGGTATTTTTTAGTTCTCTTCAACACACTTTCACCCACGTGCCCTAAAGGGACAGGGGGGAAAGGGATTTTGTTGCTTTGCGATATAGGGTGCAAACGGAGAGCCTCTTTACATGTTCAGCAAGTGCCCCACCACTGAGCTCTATCGCCAGCTGGAATGGCTTTTTTGGGGGGAGGGGGGTTCATTTTATTATTTATTCACATGTCAATTCCTATAGAACTGGAGTTACAGATGATTGTGAGCTACTGTGTGGGTGCTGAGAATCGAACCCAGGTCCTCTGGAAGAGCAGCAGGAGCTCTTATCTGCTGAGCCGTGTCTTCAGCCTCCCCGAGTGGTTATTGATTCCAGGGGAGGTGGCAGGTTTGAGGAAGAAGGCTTACCTACTTCACTGTAAAGTAGAGACGCAAACACTGTCCCGGTCCCGTGAGGAGAGGATTCAAAAGCATGAGATTTGGGGGAGATACAGGGCTGATATGAACTAAGTAAGCCAAACAAGGTCTCCTCCTCAGAAATAAACCATGAGATTTCAGAGGTGAAAGCTCATTATATGTGGACATCTCCCAGAATGGAGCCAGCAAAGCCAGGCCTGTGGACAGGCTTTAACTCCAGCTCCTAGGGAGGCTGAGGCCGTGTTGTGGGTTATCAACCAGAGAAGACTGCTCGGACATGGATTTAAGCCAATAGAAAATTGCCTGGCAATTACACTGGTGTTTGGGATCCCAGTGTAGGACCGAACCTTTCTCAAGGTTTAAGTTTAAACACAGAAAACATGTCCTGGTTTGACATACTTCAGTTAACAAGAACAGTGGACAGAACGGAACCACAGAAGCCAAGAGAGAAGGTTAGTACATTTAGAGACTTTCCCAGAACCACAGACTTTGATGGATTAGGTCTTTGTTTTGGCAGGTGGTATTGTCTACATGCTGAGTTTTATGGCCTGAATCATGGAATCAATTGTGCTGAGGTCTGGGGCCCTGTTACAGCAGGAAAATCTCAAAGCCAAGACCTGCCTGGCCACAGAGAACAGAGCTAGCATGGTATATGTGAATTCCTAACTAAAGGGGCAGGGTCCAAAATACCGCTCAGATAGAGAAAGCAACTTCTAAGGACTCTGGACTGGGTGGGCTGGGTGTAGCTCAGTTGGTAGAGAGCTTGCCTGACGTGCAGGAAGGCCTGGGTTTGAACTGCAGCATCACACAGACCACATACACTGGCACATAGTTGTAATCCTAACACTCATAAGGCAAAGGAGTTCAAGGCCCATCCTCGGCTACAGAGTGAATTCAAGCCTAACCTGGTCTACAGAGTGACACCCTGCCTCAAACAGAAAACTAAGGAAAATGAACAAAAGCCCAAACTTACTTTCTGAGATTTTGATAAAGCACATTCTTTGTATCATAATAGATAAATATGCAAATGTCATTGTGGTGGTTAATGCTAATTGTCAACTTGATAGAATCTAAAATCAGCTAGAAGATGGGTATGCCTATTGATAGGCCTCTGGAGGATTATCTCAGTTGCCTTGAAGTGGGAAGGCCAACCCACTTTGCGAGTGTGTATGTGTGTGTGTGTGTGTGTCTGTGTGTGTGTGTGTCTGTGTGTGTGTGTGTGTTCCCATTCCCTGACTAGATCATGGAATGCTATGGAACAATCCTTCTGTACACTGTGTGAATATATGTTGCTATGATTGGTTTAATAAACAAGCTGACTGGCCAATAGCTGAGCAGGATAAAGTTAGGCAGGAAAGCCAAACTGAGAATGATGGGATGAGGAAGGGCAGAGTCAGGGGAGCAAGATGAGAATGCTGTAGTGAGAAAAGTTGCCAGGCCACGTGGCTAAGCATAGATGAGAATTATGAGTTAATTTAAGTGTAACAGTTAGCTCATAACAAGCCTGAGCTATCAGCCGAGCATTTATAGTTCATATTCAGCCTCTGAGTTGGTTACTTGGGACCAGGCATTTGGGACAGGAAATGTCCATTCACACTGGACTGTGTAAGTGGAGAAAAGGAGCCAAGCAGCAGCCTGCATCCATTGCTTTTTCCTGACTGTGCATGCAATGTGTCAAGCTCCTGGACTTCTCTGACATGATGGACTGTTGTGGGGGGTAGTCTCTGCAAACACCAGCAGAGCATCTGTCTGTGGGAGGCAAGAAGAAAGTCTGCTTTAACAGGACTTTCTGGAGTCTGACACCAGGCACTTGATTTCAGGTGTATTTAAGTACAATACAATTTGGAAAAAAGTTTCCTAGTGTAACCCAATCCTGTGTGCACAATAAAGCTTAAGGCACAATTACATCAAAACTCTTTTAGAAGTCCATGTCACTCTTCCATAAAGACGTGTTCTGTAGATGGACTACATGTGTCATCTTAAGGGTCTGGGAGAGGGTCTGGTGTGGTCTCAGTCATATAGAGAGGGCAGAGGTCACCTAGACTATTAACATTCCCAGCCTTCTGGGCTGAAAACAGGTTATACATTTCTTCCTTTGAAGGGACAGCCCTAGCTGGGTAGTGGTGGTGCATGCCTGTGATCCTAGTACTTGGAGGCAGAGGGAGGTGAATCTCTGAGTTTGAGGCCAGCCTGGTCAACAGAGTTCCAGGGCACTTAGGGCTACACAGAGAAACCCTGTCTCAAGAGAGAGAGACAGAGACAGAGACAGAGGACCTTGTGTATTTAACATCCCTGGTGTCTCTAGAGCAGAGGTTGTGGAGGTTGTATGTCAGATATTCTGCATATTTACATTACAATTCAAAACAGTAGCAAAATTACAGTTATGAAGGAGCAACAAAACAATGTTATGGTTGGGGGTCCCCACAGCATGAGGAACTGTGTTAAAGGGTCACAGCATTAGGAAGGTTGAGACCCATGATTCTAATGCTTGTCTGTGAGGATAAGGACCTTATACCCTCTACAGACTCTACCCTTGTGCTGTGAGCCAGAATAAACCGTAAACCCTTGCTCCATGAAGTTGCCCTCGGTAGGAGAAAGTTCTCCGGTCCCACCTGGCCCTGTGGTCCTGACGAATCTCTCGTAATCATTCAGAGAATTAATATTAATTACAAGCAGTATGGCCTAAGGCTCAGGCTTCTTGCTAGCTGGCTCTTAACCCATTTCTATTAATCTGTGCATCACCAGGTGTTCTGACTTTACCTGTGTCCCATTACATGTCGCTCCTTGGGCTCTGGGCTGGCGCCTCCCCCCATCCCCCATTATTCTCTGTCTCTCTTGGATTTTCCCGCCTGGCTCCATCCTGCCCTGCCATAGGCCGTTGCAGCTTTATTTATTAGCCAATGGGAGCAACACATGTTCACAGCCTACAGAAAGACACCCCACAGCAGCCTTTGTCCAAATGTTTTATCACAGAATCAGGAAAAGGAACTATGACACACATTTTAAGAAACTCTCGGGGCCGGGCATTGGTGGCGCACGCCTTTAATCCCAGCACTCGGGAGGCAGAGACAGGCGGATCTCTGTGAGTTCGAGGACAGCCTGGGCTGCCAAGTGAGCTCCAGGAAAGGCGCAAAGCTACACAGAAAATGCCTGTCACGAAAAACAAAAAAAAAAAAAAAAGAAACTCTCGGACTGGAGAGACGGCTCAGAGGTTAAGAGCTCTGGATGCTCTACCAGACGTCCTGAGTTCAATTCCCAGCACCCACATGGTGGCTCACAACCATTTGTAACAAGATCTGGTGCCCTCTTCTGGCCCACAGGCAGAACTCACTGTATACATAATAAATAAATAAATAAATAAATCTTTAAAAAATAAATAAATAAATAAAAAAGAAACTCTCTTTGGTGGTGGTGCATACTTTTAATCCCAACAGTCAGCAGGCTGATCTCTGTGAGTTGGGGACCAGCCTGGTCTACAGGGCGAGTTCCAGGACAGCCAGGGCTACAAAGTGAAAACGAACAAACAAACAAAGAACTCAGTCACGGGGGCTGGAGAGATGGCCAGAGGTTTAGAGGACTTGCTGCTCTTGTAAAAACTGAATCTCCATTCCCAGCACCCACAGCAGATGGCTCACCACTTCCTTTAACTCCAGCTCCTGGGGCTCTGATGCCTCTGGCTTCGAGGACCCCT